ATTTTAAATATTATTTTACTGATAAAAATATTAAAAAAAATAATATTTAAATAATGAAAAAAAGAGTGAAGGAGGAAAACCATCAGACTTGTGCTAGATTTAACATTAAAAAATATTATTTTATTGATAAAATATTAAAAATGATTAAAAGATTAAATAAAATGAGAGTAATTGGACTAATGTAACATAGGTGCGTTAGACTGAAACATTCCCACAAACTATCCACACCATAGTGTGGGCAATCCACGAGAAAATACTGTGGACGATAAATTAGGGTGTGGCCCATCCCTGTCCATGCTATTTTGTGGACGGAGACTGTCCACACATATCAGAACACCATATTTTATTGTGGACAAGGCCAAAACAGTTCCGTCCATGATATTTACACGCTACCGAATGCCACCTAAGAAGATTTGATCACATGCATAAAAGACAATCTATAAGACCTATTTAAGCATCCGTATAATTTAACAAGAGATATGTCATAAAACAGAATTCATGTGGTCAGCCCCATAATACCTATTTTCTTGTGGTATACCTGTGATATTATCATATTATCATGTACATATGTTTCAATTTAACAAATATACAAGCATCTTTAATTGATAGAATTATTAATAAGAACTTAGGAGTTGAACATGGTTTGGTGTTAATATAATATAGATCTTCTTTAACATTTCATCAAGGAAGATCCAATAAATCAAAGTTCAAATTTAAGGAGTCCTGAAAACTCACCTAGTTCACAAATCACTAGCTAAGCTTTCAATAAGACTCTCTCTCTCTCTCTCTCATTTGGGGAATCCCATGTGATCAATATCTAATAATCAAGGAATGCTGGCTAATACAATGTTTTTCTAGGGTGTTAAGTTGACCCATTAGATCTTTCATTTTGTTCATTCCCCATAGAGGATACTATTAAGAGAACTGAGAATCTACCTTCCTACTTTGATTAGTTTAGTGCAACTTGTTTCTAATTTTTTTGTTAACAGTAGCATCTTTTCCCTCTCTTTTATTCCTATTTATTTTCCATTTATTGTACATATGGGAAAATATTAGGCAAAAGTAAGAAAATTTCACTAAGGTAAGGAAGGAGCTTGTTTCTCATTTGACTAGAGAAAAAGACCATGAGGATTCTAGCCTACTGAGTCTATCTCTATGACATTTATTATCTCTTAACTATATATGAGGTGATTGAATTATTCCCAATTCCAAATTGTGGAGATTTATCTTTTGAATTTAAATTTTTTTGAGTGTTTGATTGATAGATTACATGGTTGCATACATGCATCTTTTTAAGTCATTCAATTGTGTGGCTAGCTGTGAAGCCAAAAGTAACTTTGCTTGCAATTTTTACAACAAAACTTGCACAAACACGACAATATGCCTTGGAAGCTTTTCATGGTGACTATCTAGAATATATAAAATGGATGTGTGTTGAACCCTTTTTATACATAATTTGTCACACAAAATTATGTCTCTCAGTTTGAATTACTACTATCTCATAAAAGGTTTCATTCGAAATTCTTCAACTTTGATGGTTGCAGTTTCTTTTAATTATTGTATCTTGGAAAAAAATTTATCTACAACTCAACAACGAACTTGATCACTTGAGTAGGGGCAAATAATGTTTTAAGGTTAGTATTTTTAGATATGCCTCACATCTAATTTCCTGAAATTACATCTCCAACACAAAATTCATTTGATGTTTGTTAATCTATCAAATATTATCTATTTCTGATTTCTCCAACTGCTTCAAGTACTTCTCCCTTCACTTTGAATGTGTTTGGTTGCAGTGCAATTTTATTTGCACTAGTAAAAATACATGAAAGTGCAAATGAAAATTGAAAATTTTCATTTAATTTTGTTTTGTGTTTTACTTTATTATGATTTAGGTCTTAATTTAGTTCATTTGTACCACCACCAAACAAAATAAGTTAAAATTTAAAACAAAAATTGATCACAATTTACATTCAAATCATTTTCACTATCATAGTTAAGCATCAATATAAATTTATTTGCATTGCAACCAAATACAGCCTAAGGGTAATCCAAACATCCAATTGGTAAAGAACACCTTTTCCATTCAAGCTGTTGGATGGAGGATAATTTATGGGTAAAAAGCGAAATATTATATTTATGATATAGTTTTTTTTTCTAATTTTTCACTTATTGAAATATTTTATTTATTTTTGGATTTAACATCAATTGAATTGCATGTTCTATGACTAGTACCATATAAATGGTATCTAGGTGGGTTGAATAAGTCAATAATTGACAACTTTTTAGAGCATCAAGATCTACCTCTGAATGGGTCTCACCTAGTTGATTAACCAGGCCAAGAATCAGATTGAACAGACCATATATACTGTTTTTCTTGGACTATTTGAACTATTGAAGATGCAAAAGTTCTGGTAAAGCTCAAGAAAATATTCAAAAAAGTTCAGTACTACTCAGATGGTAAAAGGTCAGTTGATTGTGCTAATTCTTGTACATGGGGACCAGTTTATGTGGGTCCCCACCTTAAGCTTGACACATGAAGGGTCATGGGCCTGAGCAACTATGCACTGGTGGGATCCTAGGCTCTTAGACCTGAGACGCTTCAGTGTACTTAATTAGTTGAGAGCGACTTGGTTCTGCAGCCACAGGGCCCAACCAGTAAATAATGGGTCTATAAACCCTCATAACTTACCCCATCAAGTTGGGACCCACTCCTAGATGGGTCCAGGAGTGTGTCTAGTCCAGATATCAGCATGATAGGGTGATCTTTGACCATCTAATTGATACATCGCTTTCTCAGCTTTCTAACATCTTCTATGTAACTTTTTCCATAGTCCAGACATGTACAGTAGAGTAAACACTTGCACCTGCATTCTATGTTTCGATTTGATTTTTGGCCCATCTTATGTCCATGGAGGGGACCCATTAATATAAGACGAGTGACAAGTTTTATGGGTCCCACATTTGATCGGTGCTGGAATGGAGGGATTCATCAGTGGGTCTGGTTAAGTGGTAAATCCGTATTGACTCAACTCTATCGGGTTAGGGTAGGACAGCCTTAATCAGGTTTCGGGTTGGTATTACTTTTTTATGCTAAAAGCCTAAAACTAGGGGTGCTCAATTTAGTTTGGAAGGAGTACAAATGTAATTATATAGAGTGCAAAACTTTGTATTTTGTATTCTTTTATTTGTATTTGTACTGTATTTTGTATTTATACTCTTTCCAAACTGAGCCTGAAGAACTGAATCGAACTGAAAAATGTAGTTAACCAAATTGGTCAATTCGGTTTTGGTTTAATATTTTTGAAAAAATCGAAAGGTTGGTTTGATTTTCGGTTAACCTAGAAAAACTAGCAGTTAATCGAACCAATATATATATATATATATGTGTGTGTGTGTGTATTTTATAAATATTTTTAATATACCTCACATATTATCAATATATTATATATATATGTATTATATATAAATATATACATATATTATATTTATAATTATTTTATTTATATTTATCTATTTAAAACATATAATATATTATAAATATATTACATATATTTGTAGTATTTATAATATAATATTATATATATATTTATAATATATGTTATAAATATAAAAAATAAAAAAACTAAAAAACCAAGTGGTCAAAAATCAAAATTGATCAATCGGTTAATTGGTGGTATCAGTTCGACTTTGGTTTGGGGATATGGAAAAACTGATAGGATCGGTTAACCGAACAGTGAGTACCCCTACCTAAAACCGATCTATTTATAGTAGCAACCAAGGTTTTTAAAATGGAACCAGATAACAAACCGGTAAGGGGTCTGGTTCCTAGGTCAAATGGTCCATCGTTTGAACCAAATAGACGACCTGTTCTAACAAAAAAATTTAAAAAAGGCCAAAAATCATTGGACGGTTCAACCGCCTGAGTCAGTAGTTTGCTTACCAAGTCAACGATTTTTAGCGAAATAACAATTGTGGGGTAAAAAAGGAACCGGTCACCTGACCAGCTCTGGTTTATCCGATCCGATCCGATCCGGTTTTGAAAACCATGGTAGCAACATTGAAATCGGGTCGGGCGGAGGTTGTTCTGGATCAGGTTCTACTGATCCTGGGGCTGGGGTATCATTTCTTGGGCAGTTCACAGTTGGGTCAGTCCTGGTTCAACTAATGGCACCATAGTAAATTTCCACAAGATCATGGCCTTTTATGCACGCAAGTTGAGGAACATATTTATGGTGGCAGATATGTTAGGTACCGTAAGCATGAAGAAGCATCAACAAGCAACAATTCCTAAAGCCAGGTCACGAGGGCATTGTAATAATAATACAATAATTAAAATTAATTAACACATAAATGACGATTACATTGGACGGTCAAGATCATCTGATCAAGACAAACTTACTCAGTTGGCGGTCTGGCCTCTTCCCATAAAAGAAGCCTACGTTTGAACATTGAACTTTGAACGTTTCTAATTCGAACTAAAAACCGCATGAGGCATGATCGCTAAGTGACTACCGGAAACCGGGAAGAGGCGGTGACCACCGGTCACGGACCTTGGATTGGGCGCCGAATCGTCATTGGATCTCCGCACCCGAGCTTTCGGAGTATTCACAACTTCCCATTTGAAGCCCTCCCACCTCTTCCTCTCATCTTTTTCTCCCAGAAAAGAAAGGAGACTGGAGACAGCCTCTGACACCGTCAGATCGGAATAAGTTGCAGTTGCAGAAGGCTCAGTGCTGGTGCCGGGTCCCAGAGACCCGGCCCCACAACAGCCCCACCCCGTCGGGGACGAACGAAACAATGTAGTCGCCAACGCCACCCGGTCCACCCCCACCCAGCCCTGAGCCCTCTGTCTGGTAGCGGAGCCGTGACACGAGAAGTTCGATTACAGCTGTATTCGATTTCCTCGGCCTGTCTCTGTTATTCCCTTTTCTGTTTGATTTTGATTAATTAATGCAAATGTTTATTTACTTTTTAATAATTTCTGGTTATCCCTTCTTCTCCTTTTAATATTTCACGTTCGAGGCTTTTCCTTCGTCATCGACGTCGTCGTCGTCTCCTCCCCTACGTTCTCTCTTCCTCTCTTTCTCTCCCTCTCTTTCTCGCTTTCTGGGGTTCGTTCCTTTTTTCCGTAAATGCGAAGCTTTTAGGGTTTCCAGGGGGATTCCGGGGTGCAGTCGGGAGTTTGAGTATAACTATAGGGTTTACTGATCTTTCGGTCAGTGGATTTGGGTTGAATTCTTCGAGATATCTGATGGTTTCAGAGCTCAAAATTTGGATTTTGGGGGAGGAAGCTGTGTTCACGTGAACGTTGTTGTTGTCTTTTCGGTTTTTCAGAGGGTTTTGGGGGAGTAAGCTGCGACTCTGCCATCTCCACTTGATTTTACTGAAAAAAAGCGTTCCTTTTATTCCTTTACTCTCTCCTTCTCGAGAATTGCAGTTGCCTATATTCTTCTTTTCATTTCTTTTTTCTTCTCTTTTGGGGGAATTCTCAGCTGGGTTTCTAGCGATTTGAGCTCAGTCTTTGCTAGTGTGCGCCAGGGTGGCGTTAATTTGAGACAGTGAGAGAGAGAGCTTCATGTAAAGGTTCTATTCTTCTCACCTTTACTCTTTATGTATATATATTATTAATATTAATTCTTTTTCTGCCATTTCCCTTTCTTTGTTTCAGTTTACAGTTTGTGTATGATGGGTTACTTAAGTTATTACGCTTGCCTTTGCTTTAGCTGAGTAATTTAATGGTTGAATTTGGTAGAAAAAGTGAATTAATCGCAGAAGCAGGAGTAAGCAATTGTTTTTCTGTTCCATGATAGTTGATTAGTGCTGTGAAAACAACCTATTTGGTGCTGCTTCTGATCCAGTACGTTCTGTGCAGAAGCAGAATAAATATACCAAAAAAGAGTTTATTTCATTGTTCGCTTCTGTTTATTGTTTACAAGTCTTTTGGGTATTTGCTCTGGAAACTATGATTCTACACTGATATAAAATAACAGATTGTTATGCTCTGGAAACTAATTCTGCTCCTATATAACAGATTGTAACTAGACAAGAAGAAAAAGCTGGAAAGAAGAAACTGTGTGGGAAAAAGAATATAGCCTATAATTAAAGAACAAACCAGACATGAGGATGGAAATTTTACAATGAAATCATTTAGACCTGGAGCTGCAATGTGGGTCTACGCTGGTTCCATTCAATGGGAAGAACCGGAGTAGGCAAGACAAGTGACTCCAGAACTTAACAGACCCTAGGAACCCTACCCTCCACCGGGCTCTTGCGTTGCCTCTAAGATCAAATGATATTTTGTTCTCCTTCAAAGATGCGTCGACTACCTCCATCCCCTCTGTATCTAATGGGATAGACATAGATGGGACAACATATGCGAGATCTTTGGAGCTGTTCTTGGGAACATCGAAGGGGATGGCTGTCAATTGGGCTATTTTTATCCCATTGAAATAGAGAAAGAAGTTTATGTCTGAGAAGGTTGCATGAGCCTTGGCATTGTCATTCTCTGCCCTGATGGTGATGCTGATCTGTGTATCCAGTTGTCCAGTCTGGGAGTAGTCTAGCTTGTCCAGATTAGCTTGCACGACACTGATGAAGGGTACTCTTGGCCGGATGATCATGTAACCGATGAACACAACAAGACCTGTGACTATCACTGCAATGGCTATAATGGTGCAGATGATGGCAGCACACCATACCAAGAAATGGGTTCGTCTTTCTTGTGCACCACGAAGTGGCCCTGGCATCAGTGAATGATGGCGGGGTCTTCCAAAAGACAACATTCAGGAACTGTCTAGGTTTTTTAGTTTTATGTTGAAGCATTGGATTTAGATTGTGGGAGGTTGGCAAGAGAACTACCTTGGGTTCTATATTTTAATTTGTGGGGGAGGTTTTGGCATCTTCCTTCCCTGGTGCAAAAGCCACTGCATTCTTCTAGAGGAAAGGTGTCTGTTTTAGGAGTGTCACTTACTTTATCACTGGGTAAAGAAAATACCAAACTTGCACCGCTAAATACCACATATTCGCTTTTCTTTCTCTTTTCTTGTTTGCTCATCTTCTTTTCTTCTTTTTAAAATGGGGTGTAGCATATGTGATCTTGCAGCAGATATTTCCTTTCTATCCCATGCATGTTTTATGACAAGAAAGTGTTCCATCTTCTAGTTGGTAAAAAAATTACACAGAATGATTCATCAAAGTATATACAAAATACAATAGTTTGCTCATGGCCACGGTTAATTTACTTCAACTTTTTTCTTGCGATTAAATGATTAACTGAGAGGTAATCTTCTAAAGAAGAAAAAAGAACTTTTATAAGAAAGGACTTGACAGAATGACAGGTGCAAGGAAAAACAGGTTTATTTCCTTGTATATAAGCAAGTCCAGAAAATACATTACAATTTATAGTTGCTTAGGGAGCTAAAAGTACTGATGCTTATAAAATTATATCGTTCAATCACTTCAATCCATAAAGGCAGAATTTGAATGCTCCCAAAATGATGACCCTGCAAGTAGACTTGCTTTTTCTTGAAGGGGGTTTTTTTGGAGTCTAGATGCTGTACATTCCTTGCATTAGCTTGAAATCAGCTTTAACCAACTCCTCAGAAGGTTTTTTATCCTTCCTTCTCAAGACAGGAAATGGTTTCTTACTTAGCTATCTTGTTTTGGAATGAAACTTAGCTATAACTAAGGTGAAATCAACAGGTTTCCAAATCCTAACTGAAACAAATTGGTAGGTAATGTGCATCTTGGTCTCCTCTTTGATTGTTGTTTGCCTACCTTTTTAACAGGGTCCTGAACAAGTTGGTAGATAATTTCGTGTTAATGGAGAAAGACTTATAACCTGTATGGACCCCCAAGCTTTTGTCAGGTTGTCCATTGGGTCCCTGGGGCTGAGAATCCCAGTTGCAGCTTCAAAGGCAGGTCAAATTGGAATCCACGCATCCTCCTCACCATGCTCTTGTGAGATACGTTTACGAGGCTTCCCTGTTCAGACAGCACCAGTTCCCCTAATCTCCTCCGCTGAGGCTACACCAGATCTCCATAGCATTGCTACAATCTTCTATCTTGAAGAATCTGATGTTAAAACTCTGTTGGGACCTGGCAGGCTTCATCCATCTCGTGCCTATTTAGAGATTATTGTTTTCACAGGGTGGAAGGGCTTCCATTGTGGTGTCAACAGCAAGAAGCAACAGATTGGGAAGTTTAGGTTGCAGGTCAGTCCTGAATGGGGGGAAGGGAAGTCAGTGTTGCTTCATAATGGATGGACAGGAATTGGCAAGAACAAGCAGGATGGTGGTAAGCCAAGAGCTGAACTGCATCTAAGAGTGAAATTGGATCCAGATCCAAGATATGTTTTCCAGTTTGAAGATGAGACAGCACTAAGTCCCCAGATAGTTCAACTTCGGGGCACCATCAAGCAACCTATTTTTAGTTGCAAGTTCAGTCGTGACAGGAGGTAAGAGTTTGTGATAAAATTTGTAACAGAAAAACATATCAGTCACCTAATTCGTAATAGCAAAATGAGAACAAAGGCATATAGTCATAAAGAACAGATAAATAAATGGAGAAACAGATAGGGGAATCAATTAAAATCATCAGAGGTTGGGAATTCATTCACTCAAAACCATTCACATGGATTACCTCCAGGTTAGTCTGACTCCTACAACCTAATGATAGTTTCTTCACCAAATACTCTCCAAATGACTATATAAACTACACCATTCAATCTGCTCCTACTTTGGATAAAAAAAAATCTATTAGCTGACTGTTCAATGTGCTAAGGTCCAAAAGTCCAAGTAATTGAGGATATACATGAGACAATACTTGAAAGTTAAAGATTCTTCTGCACAGTGCATTGATGTGCAGAATGGTGTATTTTTCTTTTACTTTGAGCAATGCAATCCAATACTTTACCTTTCCTCAAAAAAAAAAGAAAACAAAAAAACCCAAAGATTATTTGATTGCCGTATTTTGGGGCTATTAGGCCTTTTGAGGCAGTCCATTTATTTATACGACACACCTGAAATCTGGAATAAAGGAGCCAGCTATCTATACGGCATAAACACTAATCATGCATATACTTTTCACTGTTTATTTTGCTTCTCCGGAGCACTTTCCTTTCAATGCAGAAGATGACTTTTAAAATTCTTGAACAACCCTCTTTTTAGTAATTGTAATGTAGTTGGTGAGATTCATTTTAACACTACTAATATCTTTTATTTAATGAATTTTAGATGGGTTTATTATTTTCGTTTGTTGTTAAAACAACAGGGCATCTCAGCTGGATTCAGTGAGCAATCACCGGGTGAGCACCACCTATGGAACAGACCAAGATACTGACAGGCGGGAGAGAAAAGGCTGGAGGGTGATGATCCATGATCTCTCTGGTTCAGCAGTTGCTGCTGCCTTTATGGCAACTCCCTTTGTACCATCAATGGGATGTGATCGAGTTGCACGGTCCAACCCTGGGGCCTGGCTAATTGTCCGACCAGATGCCTTTGGTCCTGATAGCTGGCAACCTTGGGGCAAGCTGGAAGCATGGCGTGAGCGAGGCATCAAAGATTCGATATGCTGTCGTTTTCACCTCCTCTCTGAAGGTCAGGAGGGGGGTGACCTACTTGTATCAGAAATCTTGATCAGTGCTGATAAAGGTGGGGTTTTCTTCATAGACACTGAAAGACGGACACCATCGGTGACGCCATTACCAAGTCCAAGAAGCAGTGGGGACTTCGCATCCCTGGGCCCCGTCTTTGGGGGTTTCGTGATGAATTGTCGGGTGCAAGGAGAAGGGAAGAGTAGCAAGCCATTGGTGCAACTTGCTATGCGGCATGTGACTTGTGTGGAGGATGCGGCCATCTTTATGGCACTTGCTGCGGCTGTTGATCTCAGTATGGTGGCATGCAGGCCATTCCGTAGGAAGCCTAAGAAGGGGAGCCGCTATTCTTTAAGATGGAACTAAGGTGATTGATTCCCTTTATGAAAGCTCAATTTCAGCCATTACTTCTGTTGCTTGCTGTTAATTTGGTTTAGGCATATTATATAGAACCCCCCTCGTTTACTATAAAACTTTTCCATCTTATTCACGCTGAGGATTACTCTCTCTCTCTCTCTCTCTCCCTGGCCAGAATTAGTGACAGTTTAGTCGCTTTGTTGGGCCAACCCAAAACTTGACCTGGTGAGCCATGCATTCTTAATGGAGAGAACTGAGAAGGCTGTAGGTCAGGGGGAGAGAGAGAGAGAGACTCCCAGCTTACTGAGCTAGAGCTGTTAATGGGTCTGGTCTATCCGATAGAACTGAATTGATTCGACTGATTATGTCGGTTCTTGTTCCGTGGTTTGTGTCCCGATTAGTATTTGGATCAAGACTAGTTCTTGCTGTTCTGAATCATTAAGACTCTGGTTTTCTTGTACTTTTCGTTACATTTTATGTTCGAAAATTTCATTGACCGGATGTCACATAATTTCAATCAAAAACACTTGTTTTACAACATATAAACAATTACCTATAAAAAAAAGGAAAAATATATTAGCGGTTTAGATAAACAGTTTAGACTGTCGTTTTTATTGAGGTTATATTGTCAAAGATGAAGTTCCGACTTGTTATTTTCATAGGTAATTCTAGATGTCAAGTATAATCGAGTCTAATTGTGTCATACCTGATTATCCCAATTGTAATTGGTTTGATCCTGGGTTTGTTTTATATAACCAAACCGGACCCACAGACAGCTCTATACCCAGCCCTCCACCCCCTGGACTGATTAGTTCCCGACTGTTCATTTCCTAGAGCTCCTATTTAACGTGCAAAAAAAAAAACAGAAAAAAAGAAAGGTATGAATACCAACTGGTGTTTTGAAGCCACGCCTTTCTGGTATTCATGACGGTCAACTTAAAACACGTCTGACAAGTAAAGTTTACTGTGAAAAGAACCTCAAAATGCATTCTTCAAAATCATGCTTGGTTTAGGGCATATTTTGTATTGTTTTTCTGTTTATTTGTTTCCAAATGTTTTGAATTTTTCTCTGTTCTTTTCTAACTTATCTTGGTGTTGTCTAATTGTAGTCTCGTAAAGTGGGTTCCTCGCGAGCATCATGTCATGAACTAGTGCTACTCTTGATGGAGAGATTGAACTGGAGAAGACGAGACAGAAGAACGATGTTGTACATAAAGATGTTGGTTCATGCAGTATTCTGATGCTATGATGACTGGGGATATGTAGTGTTTCTAAAGGAAAGTCGGGTTATTGTTATTGATGCCCATATTTTAGTAGTTTTCTGACCCGATAAAATTCAGCTGCTAGATCCAGCTTGTTTTATTGAATATTGGCCCTCCCCACAATCATGAATCAATCAGACATTCAGACCAGATAGTGTCATACGCTAAAATAGTTGAAAGGATTATCTTCTTCAGTTTTCACTAGGACTTAGGAGGCCCTTGAATAACAGCTGAAATTGCTGAATTGAATGACTTGCTGCTTTGTCTTTTAGTGGGTAAAATAGTTAAATGATAAAATATTCCAAGGGTTTGGTAACCTACCCATCCCATTGAAAGACCCCTTCGACCTCCTTAAAAATCTTCTTCACTGAAAGACAAAGTAGTATGTTTTTTAGTTTAGCCACTAAAGCTGTTATTAAACTGCCTTTAACCCTACATTTAGTTTTAGTTGCAGTACTAATTTTATTTGCACTGGTGTAAATACATGGGAGGTGCAAATAGGCTGAGTGTAAATTCTGGTTTATTTTTGCTTCAAATTTGACCTTGTTTGTGAAAAGTATGATAGGAAGTAAGGTGGTGTGATCCCATCTTACATGCAAGTAGACCTGTACATGGGCTGGATTTGGGTTTGGTTTTTGCAAAATTTGAATGGATTTGATCTGGAACCCGAGAGCCTAACAGTGTAAAGTCAGGCCTAAAGCCCAGTCCATGAATCGGTCTACATGATCTACATGATGGAGGTAGGAGGTGGATTATTTGTTTGGGATTGAAGTAGGAGGAAGGAGGTAGAGGCAAAATTTATACTGTTAATGGGTGGAAATGAGACCAAAAGTACAAATTTTGTATTGCAAATCATAGTTAGACATAAATATAAAACTAAACAGGTTGCAAGATTTGCATCACGTTCGGATTTGCACTACAAGCAACTGCAACCCAGGGTTCAAAATGCTATGTATCAGTGCCTATTGTTCTTATGTGGCAATCTTCTAGGGCAACATTTTAAGACTTGTCCAGACCAAACAGTCAGACCGTGAAAATCGGGAACTGGTGGTCTTTTCAGTTCTTAGTTAAATGACGGTTTTGGCAGTTTTTATAGGATGAACAGGCAAACAACCTGGTTAACTGGTAAAATGGGACCCATTAGGCATTCTACAGTACAATAATTCCTACTTCTCACAACAAAAAATATTTCTTAATATCAAAATGAGAAATTTCTTTTACTACTTCCCACAACAAATAAATATTTCTTAATATCAAAATGAGAAATTTCTTTTAAAGGGCATCCATGGATAGGGAGCAAGGTTTAAAATCTTGCAATATATCGGATAAGAGAAAGGTTTGAAATCACATGTTTTATAGGCTGAGCAATAATGCAATATGAAGTCAACTTAATGTTGGGTTAGGGTTTCTGTTTTTTTTTTTTTTTTGATAAATTGAGAGAAAATCAGCACCGACAGGGGAGAGACCTGCCAGCAGCATCGAGAAAAGTTAAGTATGTGTTTGGTTTTGTGGGCGTTTATGGATAGGTCATTTATTTGTACTTTTTCACTTTAAACATTTATTTATACTTTTCACTTTAAACATTTTTTTACTTTAAATGTTTTCTATTTTTGTTGTTTGGTTGGGTTACACTTTAAACGTTTTTTACTCTACCTCAGATTAATACCCATTAAAGTGTGCTACATCAGCATTTGGTTCCATGAAACGCCGGGACATTGGGGGAAAGAAGAATTTGACGTTTTTCCAAATGCCCCATGCACAAAAATCAAAGTGTTTCAGTTTTCTACCATTTCTTTGATAAACGGTGAAACCAGACAGTTGTTTCATTTTGCTTCATATGAAATAAACGCCAACATCCATGTGGTGCTGATGTGGCGACGTTTTTCCAATAAACACCCATGGAACCAAACACAACCTAAAACCTAAGCTCCACAGGGGAAATCTTGAAGAAGCACTACTAGAGGTGGCAATTGGGCAAGTTGGGTTGGGTTGGGTTCGGTTTGGGTTGAGTTTCAACCCAACCCATCTAACCCGCCAACCCATTAATGACCCAATTAGATAGAATTAAAT